GAGTCACTTAGACCGGATTTTGTGTCAAAGATATATTCGGCATTACTGTATCCCTTCAGATAGGTGGGAGAGTTCTGAACAATGCGAGACAGGAAACGATCCTTTCTTGTAACCCATGATTCCGAACTTCTGTTATACCCTGTAAACTAAACTGTATCCGTGCATATGGATGGGGCGACAAAATGTTTAAATGAGTGGGAAGTGTATGTTTTGTAAAGAAAACATTTATGAGTTGAAAGCACATTGCACATACACTCTCTTGCCAAACCGAAGGCCAGACCATGACCATTTCGTACAGTACATTGACAATATTTTACCTGTCAATATGGTGTTAGGCATTCGTTTGCATGAAATTCAGCTTGAATCCATCCTCGCTGGGAAACGTTACTCCAGGGTCCATCGTGCTATGACAATGTGCGCCGAACGAGGCACGGCTAAACGTAACAGTACCGAGAGCGGAATTTCCAGCTAAGTGATATCTATCTACCATAACCCTTTAGGTACCACTGAGCTCATTGCATGCTGCCGTCGTGCCGTTCGCTGATGTTCAAGACCGTGGAGACGACTTATCTACCTCCTGCCATGCATTCACGTGGTCACTGAGTCCCACAGTAACGTTTCACCATGTAAGTCATAATTTGCATGGATGGGCCTTGACTTTCGGCGATATAGTACATGAGAACATAGTACTTAGTTTTCACAAATACGTGTGGATGATCAAATTTGACGCAATCATGCGAATGAATGATACTCGTACGGGGGGGGGGGAGTTTCATGAGCGCCTTGACCTTGACCCTCATCGAGTCGGTGAAGGTGCACCTAAAACCCCCTGGGTCGCAGAACCTAGTGTCGATCGATGTCGAAATCAGCCGATTAACTGAAAATGCAGCTGGTCGTTTCCTGCGCAGAGAGAGGCCTCCTGGTGAACACATGTTCCCGGACAACTCCCCACGCACTGTGGTCAAGTTATCTATGAAACCCCTCAGTATTGTGTGTTCGTGCCACAAACATGAGAGTAATCATGAGCCTCGATGAAGCCCAGGAAAAAAAAAAAACACTTCATTCATTCTCTCGGAAGAAGGGGCTATGTACGTGATTCTAAGATGGCAATTTCCGACTAGTGATATAACTTGGAGAAATTGAAAGGGTGGGGGTCCATCTTTTTCCTTCTTCCCAATCGATTGCTTTTTGCCACGATTGGCCTGCGAGCTGTGCAACTCCTGTGGATGCACTTGAGCATTTCATTACATGGCTACCTTCAGTGTTCGCGTGCGACAGAGATGGACTTTATTTCTCTAGGCTCGCCACGGGTCGAGAATTTCTCTTCACTGCCAGGAGGCTTGCGGAGAAAGTGAATTAGGCGATAGATCGGAAAGTGAGATGATGAGGGGAGGGGAAGGGAGAGGGGGGGAGGGGATGAAGGTCGAGGGAGTGCACTGCACTCCGTCTCACCTTGACTCCGTCTCGTGGACTCTGTAGGGCATACGCATAGCCATTACACAGTCGGGAGGCACATATTGCGCAATCTTCCATGACCGTGACTTTCTCTCGCCTCTTTCCTCGTGGCAACGGCCCCGTGTAGGAAGTGTTTCTACGTACAGATTTAAATTAGATTCGAGCTTCAATGGAACTAGCCACTTTCAGCATCAGTTTTCCATGGAGGTCTTTCTAGGCTGAAATCTATTTAGAAAATACTAGTTGATATAAGTGAATTAGTGATTCTAAGTGAATTTCACCCTCCTGTTTTGGAGATAAATAATAGCATTTCCTGCGTACGAACTGAAGGTCCATAGTGGATGCATTTGGTCGTTCCGCGGGTCATCACCTGATCCGTGACCTACGTGATATATACTGAATGCATTTGAGATTATTCGGGTAGTAACAAGGTAATCACAAGTCAATGCGTCACATGGGAAGAGGGCAAAATACCTCTTGAAGAATGCTGGAAAAATGTAAACTACGAGAAATCTGGAGCAATCGGGAGAGATGTCCTCATCATCTTCTCTCTGTAGACCATGCGTTACTGTGGAGGTCACCTGGGGGAGGAAGGGGGGGGTGGGGGGGTAGGCGTCTTTGCATGACGTCGTTTCAAGGGCGCCTCGCTGGGTCAGCCCTCTTAACGTGATTTAATTCCCTAAATTGGTCATGCATCGTGTTATACAGGACGTGTGTGGTCCCATGATGATATCAGTATCCTTGATTGACCAGGAAACTCTCCTGATTGCAATCCAATAGTACATATTTTTGCCTGTAACGGGACGTTGTACCTCGTCCTTTTAAATTTATGCCTGATGTATACAATTCTTTCCGATTTCAAACAGCTTGCTGTCACTCGCATGAACCTAACCTAATTAACTGCATGTACTCATTGACCTACTTCTGATGATGGGGCCACGAAGTAAAGGCCCCTGTAAGTAGTTGTATCTCGAAAACGACAAGGTCTATCGCAAAACGTCAGGCAAGGAGATTGTCAATACCGTAACGGATGTGCTGGAAATTGGAAGCGTTTCTTGGAGGGCGAGCCAGAACTTAGCACCATAGAGCTCCATTATAATGGGTCTGCTTGGTCCTCTCAAAACAGGTGGCGGACCTGTCCTGAACACATGAAATACGGGCATCATGAAAGAGTTTAATTCTCCTCGGCCTCTATAGACTGGCCTCCCAGAATAGTTCTGACCTGAGGAGGCGTATTTCCCCCCGAGACCAGTTCAGATTGCTCTCCTCCATCTCCCCGTGAAATGAGAGAAGCCAAGGCAATTACTATTTTGCAGACAGATTTATTTTTGCCTCCGATGTGGGTTTATCCTCTATCCACATTGGCAATATAGCCGCGTAGGATGAGTTCACTGTCCTGTGGCCTTTCCGGATGATTGTCGTGAATATGCCTATCTCATTCCAGTCCACATTAAATCCTTCGAGTGCTGAAGTATCATTAGAACAACCCTGGCATAAATCCCATCCGTTCTGTGTGTCCTTACAATAGATTCAAAGGCAAATTTTGGATCTGAAGGCTTTTCCGCTCCATTTTTCTCGTGGATGCTTCGAAAGCTAGTTTTGAGATTTGAGGAAGCTGTAAAGGCGGCGGAACCCAAAGTCTATCATGAGACGTTCGATTAAGCAAAAGTATGAATACCAGGAGGAGGTCGATAGACACCGTCAGAACGAAATGATGCCATTGAGCTTTAAAGGCCTAACGTCAGCACGCACAATGGGCAAAGGCATTTCAGAAGCAGGTGACATAATAAGACAACCTACTGTTCGGTTTCCTGCGTTCCAACCACTCTAATTTTCCTCTCTGATAAAGATGCCCCACTCTTGTTCAAACGCCTAAGTCAAGCTATACCATCAGATGGAGAATATCTTTGACGCGTAGCACCATGTCGCATTGCAGAATTGAACGGAAATGTATTTCCGTGAGATGTACTACAAGAATGCATGCGCATAGCGGCAAAAACATATTGTATGCCATTCGTGGAGGAGATGCAAAGGGAGGCAGAACATCTGGAATGGAATTAAGGATTAAGAGAAGAGGATCAGAGGTGAGGAAGAGGAAGAGCTCCAGAGAAGGTTAGGCAAGGGCAAGTGGCGAGAAAGGGAAATGAAGCTCGCAAGGGAGCTGTGGCACGACCTCCTTCAGGGCCTGCGTACGTTTGAACCCATCAGTGTGGAATTCTGTCTTTTCTGCCTGACATTACCCGTATTTGTCCGCATCTTATGTTACTTTTAAATTACTCCAAGCCCGTATGTGGAGTTTCCAATCCGTCCATTGTTTATCGAGTGGTTCAGCTTTCCGATGGGAGGAAAGAAAAAGAGATATAAGAAATCTGGAGAAGGAAGCAAAGAGAGAAAAATAAAAAAAGAACGAACAAAGGTGAAAGGCAGTTTGGTCCGACAGTGAAGTGGCCTACCTAAGCTCTGACTAGATCCAAACACAACCCTCCTTTCCCGCCCTGATTATAGTCTCATATTCTCTTATATCCATGAAAAACTGAAAAGCATCTTAGTTGCAATTCCTCGTATCGCGTATCGATTCAAACGTAGAATAAGGATACATTGAGTTTAACTATTTGATCCTGGGTATTGAATTGGTTTGAAGAACTGAAACAGGTCTCAGGTCATGTGGTATTTATGAGGTTCCTCTTCCTATTCAGTCGGGGAGAGCATGGATGGGAAGGAGAAGTAGGATGCCTGTAGTGCTCTCAACATGGACTTGCTACAGACTTAAAATTGCAATTGAATGAGATTACACTAGCCATATTTCTTGTGTGCTGGGTGCTGTCTACTGTCATTATTCTGAGACTGTTCGCGGAATTTGAACGGGTCTTTCATATGCAAATGCAAGTTTCTTGCAGAAATGGCATTTCTGGTAATGACCATTTTTATACCCCGGTGCGCAGTGCCGAGGCCACGTAGAACAAAAGATCGATTTCAAGGGCAACAACCAAGCAAAAATTTCACCCGGCGGGTCGTTCATGTAGAAATACTGCTGCTCCATGCATACTCACTCCCAAGGACATGAAGCGCACGTACAATTAGCGATTACACGAGTGGGTTTGAGAGAATTCTATGGTCTATAAATGGTGGTGATGGACTTCTTGTTACAATGAAATGGACTTCATTTTAAAGTAAACGGAGGTGGAAGTATCTTGAATTTCCAATTGATTAGTTATCCCGTTTTGTCGAATCACATCCGGGTTGTCTTATTTTGCCTGAGAAATATCCAGCTTTTCTATGCATTTGTTTTCAAGGCGACTCGGAAAATTATTCCCAACTTTTTCTCCTAGGAAAGTGTCAGGTTTTTCAGTTTTTCATGCTAGTTCTCTCTTTCCCTTGGAATCGTACAATGAATATATATTCGGTATGGCTGGAAGGGTTAATCGAAATAAAAACTTCAAGAAAATGGCAGAAATGCTTTTTTTTCGCAGAGCGAAGCAAAAAGAAAAAGCGAAGTGGACGAGATCAGAGGACAGGAGACGTAGAAATCGCTGAATGGGGCAAGTTCAGCCCTTGAAGAACTTCTTCTTGTAGACCTTCTTGAAAAACTTGGGCTTGACGAATTTAGGCTTGACGTAGATTGGGCGACGATAGACGGGCTTGTAGTGAACCTTGCGGTAAACGGGTCGATATTTGATCTTCTTGAACTTCTTCTTGAAGATTCCGGGCTCAGCGCTTCGTTTGTGCCTGATGGCATCTACTTCCTTCTCATCCCTATGTTCGACTGGTTCGAGGGTGTCCAATTTCAGGATGGGGGCAGCAACTACTGGGACACGAGCCTCGGGGGTGTTGGTGGCATGGACGACCTGGAAACCGTCTTGGGGGGTGCTGACGTAGCTGACGTGTTGGAGTTGGTGATTGCCGTCGAGGTAGGAGTAGGAGCCGCGGACGACGCCGTCTGGGGTCTTCTCCTCGTGTTTCGCTGATGGGCCTCCTGCGTAGCCGTAGACGTAGCCCAGGCCATTCTGGGAATGGTACTGGGTCGTGTAGGTCGGGGCATACGTTGGGAAGGGAATTCTCTCCGGGATGAACGCTGGCGCTGCAGGGTCATAGGGACCCGTGTAGGCGTACGTGTACGGGTGGCCTGGGAATTCAAACGGCTCCACTGCAACTGGGATGGCTGGCTTCACCTCCTTCACGCTCACCACTGGCTTCTCCTCCACGCTGACAACTGCATCCTCCTTAACGCTTACCACTGGATTCTCCTCCACGGTTACCACTGGACTCTCCTCCACGGTTACCACTGGACTCTCCTCCACGCTTACTACGGGGTCCTCCTGTACTGCGTATTGGAATCCAAAGGGATGCCCATAGAAGGGAAACGGGACGTGCCTGACGAAGGCGGGGGAGGCAGGGAAATACGGGGAAAAGGGGAAATCCCTGTAGACGACTCCGCCATCTCCATTCACAGCCGCTACTATGAGTAGAATCCAGGTCTACGCAAAAATAAAGGGGAAGAAAGTACTTTTAAACGAGGTCATCTAGGAAGTGCCGGGAAATTTTATGGCTATATGATAATAGACAGTCTCGGCTCGCAAACAGCTTGCTGAGGTTATGATACGTGGTATTTGCCCAATGTGCTTCGTAAATAGAAGAGCCAGGAATCAATTTCTAACCGACACGGCCCCAATCAAATCCAGCCGCGGTCATGTGCAAATATTCCCAGGGACGAAGAAATGATCTGGAATCCCTGATGGATTCTCTGCCCCAAGCGTTATCATCATGCGTGGCCTTCAACGGGCAACTCCCATTTAACCCCAGCCGACCCCCCTCGCACGCGACCCCCATTGTGTACGAATATTCATTCGTTGGATATAACTCTTAGCTTCTTTCTTTCGTTCTCGTATCGTGAGACTTCAAACTGATTGCAAAGGACATGCCATCGTATTTTCATGGCCTTCGTAACTTCTTAAGTGGCTGGAGGCTTATCTGATTGATTCGCAACTGTTTCTGATCGATTTTAATTTGCTTCTGAGAGAAAGCCAGAACGCCTGTGATTTTTTTTGCAAGCAGCTCTTCGTTGTGACAGTTGTGAAAAAACCTTGACATTTTGCAAAAGTCAGCTAATTGAGTCTCACGGTAGGACAGTTTCAAAGTTACTGACGCAATACAGTTTAGAGAACATTTAGATAACATTTTTCGTTTTTTTTTTCTGATTCCCTTCTGATACTGTCTGATTTGGTTTGACTTGGAGCTTCCATATTTTCAAGAAAGAAGGCATGGACCATCACCTTTCTTCATGCTAAGTGACAGTAGTTGATTTTAAAAAATGAAGTGGCTAGGAGGGTTTTCTAGCGTTACTGACTTAGTAAATTTGTCCAATGCGAGATTCAGCAAGCGCGTGTTAAATTAATCAAAATGGAGTGGTGCAGGAGAAAATAAACACCATCCCACGTCAGATGATGCATGTTTAGTGGATCTTATTTTGTCCAAGTCCATGCAATGGAGAAAAGTTGGTAGAATGTTTTTGAGGAAAACAATTTATAGGAACTTTGTCCCCAATTACTCTGAAACTGCCGAATTGAGACAATTAAATTGAGCCGCTGGTTCAGAGTTCGAAGAATACGAGAACCCAATCCATTGCTATTTTTCCTACTGCAAGATCGAGTTAGACTCCGAAAAGCACAATAAAAATGCTTGATTCTTTGATTCCTCCGCGCAGGTTCAAACTCACGTTGATACGACAGATTTCGCAAAATTATCCCCTTCGGCAGTTCACCCAGAAGGAATACGAAAGAGACCCCCCCCCCCCCTTTTCTCTTTCCATATGTAACTGCATAAGGCAATAAATAATAGAAGAGTGAGAACGAGCGGAAGAAAAGCCTCCCCGACCCTTTCTGAAGAAAGGAGGAAAATCAAAGCCATAACACTCACAAGACGAAGTTCCATCCTTGCGAATACCGTCGGCAAACCGAAGCGAACAGGTATACAGCAAGCAGAGGGGAAAAGCAAAATCAGAAACGAGCAGTGAGGATTTCCTTCATATATAGGGCAGAGTCCCCGAACGACCTTGGCTTTGAGATCCGCCCAGTGTGAAGAAAAGAGGGGGATTCCGTTTTTGAAGGTCTTCTTCCCAATGAGGATGATGCGATTTCAATGCCGCAGGGTTTTTATTCAAAACAACGACCCTTAGGTGCCGCAAGGATAATATTTAACGATTGGATTCAAGGACATTACAATTTTCCTCCTCCCCTCGCCGCGTTACAAAGACGACTCAGCGAACTTTTGTCCTTTACGCATCCCTGCCTAAAGCACATCCCTGTCTCCAAATACCGTACAATAAAGGGGAATCTCATGGCGTGTAACGGCAGCTTGGCTATCTCAAACCGCTTGAATGCGCATTGTTCTGGGAAGCCCGGGAGACAGTGGGAATGCTACACTTTTTTTTTATATCAATCGACTACGATTCGATGAACCACAAAAGTTCCTTGCATTCTCTTCGCAATACCGCAGTCGCAAGTCGTTCATGACGTCATTTCCTGTACTGGAGAATTTCGAGAGTTCTACCAACCGAATATCCTCTCGAATATTCAGTCACTATTTTTATTTATTTACTTAAAACCGTGGGACACCGTGTGTAAAATGACACCTCATTGAAATGATATAGTGAAAATGAGAAATAGTAAGCAAACGGTGGGTATTAGTAGGGCCTCTCGCGCTTGATTGGAACCCTGAAGGAAAAAGAAATAATGTCCCTTCCATGAAGCCTCAGAGACTAGAGAAAACTTGGTCGAGTTTATTTTTCAGACTAGTTCTGATATGTATGACGACTCCAATAGGCTTGCCCTTTGTATTTTTTTTGTAAAACCGATTGAAGACCGAAATGAAGAGTGCATGCGCTCAAATACTGCAGAAGTCGTCCTTTGCCGTGACATTGTGAACGGGGAAACGGCGCAAATTCGTGGTAGAGCCGTATAGTGAGGGCCGTATTGACAACAGATGAGATTAAATTCACCCCAGCTGGACAAATTTGCTCCAGATATTGCAGCCCGTTCCCTTTCGTTCCGATGGCAAGCGGGCACTTTTCTGCGATTGCCTGTTACTGTAGAGCTTTTGAAATTAGTTGCGTTTCTCTCTGGGGGAAAAGATGACGAGGTCGGGCGATCTTGCAACTTCATCGACTCCGTGACGCTGCATCATCGATTCGCGGAAGCAAAATTCATCGTGACGACATGCATCGGCGTCGGAAAGGGCAAATATGGTCCAAAGTTAATGCAAGAGAGTGTGCTGCGTATTAAAGCATAACTATTATAAAAGTTATTTCACTGCAGTCCCTCGAACGAGCAATATCCGAGAAAGAACAAAAAACTGGGGATTTCCTGGCACAGTCGCGAAAACTTTGGGAAGGACGTCTAGGAGGGAAAAATTCATTTAAACATGCATCGTATGTGGTCCTTTATCGTTCGTTTGGGATTGGTGAGTCGTGATTTTGAATACGGCATGGAACTCGAGAAAATTCCTCACTCGGATCAATTCGTCTGTCATACGCAGACGTGACGTCACATATTCTCGGATCGAGACGTGAAAGATCTTGTCGCTCTCCCAAACCATTGACTCAGTGAACTTCAAGATGTTTCACACTTTGCGTGTCGTGTGCACTTAGCGTCGATGCAAGCAGGCAGATTGGCAGACGCACGTGTGCACACGCTAGTCCTCTTTTCAAGGGTGTTCGCGAAGCGCAAGGCTTGCGTTTTCAATTGAACTCATCCCATTCCCACACTCGAGCCAAGCGTTTTGCGAAAACCCTTGAATGTAAGTGGACTTGCGTGTGCACGCGTGCATCTGCCTACCTGTCCGCCTGCATCGACGCAATGGACGTATGACACGCGAAGTGTGAAAAGCCCTCAAGGTAAATGCCAAATTGGTAGATGCCAAATCCGGCATTTCCTCCTTGTAGAAAAGCAGGTTAGGAATGTCGGAAGCCTGTAGAGATTTCCCCTTTCAAGTCTGTGGGGAAAAGGAAAGAACAGGGCCATCTCTATATTGAAGCTTTTGTTTTCCCATCGACGACAATAGAAAAACCTCAATAGACTTTCTTAATTGCATATTTTTTCTATCCCAAGAGTGAATAAAGTGCGGCAGAGGCGACGATCGCTCGTTTGACCCTGAGTTACAGTATCTTCACGCGTAGGAGTTCCAAAGCTTTTCAATCATCTCACGGGAGAAGATCTGTTCCGCACTCCTCGCGTCTCATCCGATCCGTCAGCTATCTTGGCCTTGCAGTGAGTGATGCCGGTCAAGGTTCAAGGTTCAGATGATCGTGTGTGCGGTTCAATATGCCGGTAAGAAATTCTGACCATACCGGCATCACGAGTCACGGTTCAGCGCTCATCCTCCCCTCCCGGCTCCTCCCGGTCCCTCCTCCGCCTTCTTCTCTCTCTCCCTCTTTCTTCACTTCCCTTCCCCATTCCTCTCCTTCCACCGAAGATGAGCCTACCAATATAAAGGTTTTTTTTTTTTTTTGAGGGAGCATGACTGTTACCAATAATTTGTTACCAATCATACATTTACATTACTTACTTTTTTTGAGGAAGTTATGTTCGTAATAATAAGAAAGGTAACTCTTTTGTACATAACTTCATTTCGAAGCTTGGGACTACATCAGCACCTAACGTGTTCCATGCAGTGAGTAGAAAAGTAATTACGCAACTTGTACCGATATCCTCCCCTCTTTGCGGCTCTGTAAAAGAAAAAAAAGCTGCCATTGCCGTCTTTAAGTGTACTCTGGGAATTTTAATTTCGTGGCTTTTCGAGAATTTCTTTCTCTCACTTTAATATCAAACGCTATTCTATAATATGGCAATCATTAGACCGGTCTTTCTGTCTAAAATATTACGGCGGAAGAGTGAAATTTATAAGTAAACTAAGGAAGTAAAAAGCCTTGTGTAAAGCTGGAAACGAAATTCAGTTCTCTATTGCAGGTTACTCCTAGGCCCCTCTCCTCGTCTGCTTTCTCAAATCGATCTTCACCAAAAGCATTCTGAGACCCATTTTTTTTAATTATGGGATCTGCGAAGGATTTTACATTAACTCTAATTGAACTTGAATTGATTTTGACTCCATTCATCCAAAAGCTATGAATTCCTCATAATTACTGCCTTATCTTATCCCCCGTGACGGAGAAAATAATTTTCATGTTGTCCTTAGTATATACTCGAGGGCCCACGATATCAGAAACTCATATAAACGGCAAACAAAGAAAAAGGCTGAGAAGTCAGAGGTCATGGGGGACCCGAACTTCCGAGGCCAATTCTCCAATTTAGGAGAATTGGCCTCGAAATCATCAAATTGGTGGTTGGACTTCCCCACTTGCAATTACTCTCTTCTTCCTTCCCAACGGCCGGTTAATCATCCGGTTAATCGTTGTCGCGAACTCGGGGTCCCACGTGCCTCCAAATTGAGCCCGTAATCGTGAGAAACGGTATCGAATGAAAGTCATAACATATGTCGACTGGCTTCCCTTCGTCCATTGGATCCTTTTGTATCCGGAACAGGATCTTACGATCCTCGCGAATTGGTAAGACGCGAGCACTGACTCCTCTCGGCGTGCTCAGAGTCCCGAATGAGCGACTTCACCTCGAGGGATTTTATGATACGATCCCTCGGAATGCTTTCCATGATCTGCCTCGGAATGCCCGCGAGACCTAGTTCATTATTCCCCGGATTGCTCTTTTCTCCCTTCATAAAGTTCCGCCAGAACGACTTTCGCTAATTTCGAGTCCCGAGGAGCTTTCCCACGCAACCTGCTATTCTCAAAAATAATTCTTAATGGAGCTTCTCCCTCCTCTCTAATTTACTGGAGAAAACGAGCTGGACTCCCGGAACCTGTTGCCTTTCCCGCTTCAAGCTTCCCGTCTCGCGGTCTCTTTCTCTGTAACGGCGATGGTCTCGAGGAGCGCGTCGGCGGCAGCCGTCGCCGCTGCCTCCTCGGATTCACTTGGGAAAATGGAAGCAATCAGAAGAGTTAATTCAGCACTCAACGGAAGAAGTAATTCAATATCCCACCTCTGCTATTTCCGACTTAATGCCATGTGCCAACCAAGCCGCCTGCGTGAACAATATTTTCACTTCTGAAGGAAATAAACAAGAAAACTTTAAAAGATCCACTCGAATCCCTTCCCTTTGAAAATGTATCTGAAAGCAACCTATTTGGCCAGCTCAAGTCCGCTTGCTTATATATTGATACAAGCTGGGTTGCCCGGGATATTTTTTAGGAGCAATATAGCTGTTGTTCTTTTATGTGCTTTTTGGTTAGTGCTTATTTGTCTAAATCCGGCCAGACCGACGGGGACGGGAGCACTGCTCTGGCCATTTTATTTTTATTTGTTTTTTTTCCCCCCCCCCCCCCGGAGCCGCCCCCCCTTACCCCGACCCCCCTATGACCTGCTACTGGACAGACCCCACCCTCCTGCGAAGATTTCAGGTCGATATCTCCAACGGTGTCCGAATGCAAAGCGTCAGATGGACAGAGACAGAGATCCTTGCTTATAGATATAGATGAATCTGTTGATATGAAATCTATTGATTTCCTGGCTTGGTACCGAATCTTGTCCATAATAGATAGCACAGCGAAAACGCACTTCGGGAGTAGAATCCCGGTTAGTATTTCATGGCGTGGACATTTTCACAATCACAGTTTTTCCTTTTCTTTCGCTTTTCGAAGATGGTTTGCATTGCAGATGCCGATATATAGTTCTGTTCAGCGGTTGCGGCTCTTGTCCTTAACGTCATAGTGAATGTAACCTCGTTTGCCGCAAGATGTTGATGGCATTACCTGCATGATCAGGACGTAAATGACAGAATGGGGTTAACCAGATGTCGAGAGGGGAAGATGCGATAAAAAAAAAAAAAGCGCGCGAGACAAAGCCTGGGTGGGAAATCCGTGAGAACGTGGGTCGCTTTTCTGGAATCCTTCGGAGACATTTGTCTTCATTATCTTGCC